AAATTAATAATTTTAATAATAAAAAATATTTTAAAAAATACATTTAATTGTATTTAAATATATTTTTATCAATTATTTAATTTCAAACAACCACTAATTATTATATAATTAAATAATTATATTAATCGAATATGTTATTTATTAAATTTTAATTGTTATACCAATCAAGCGTTAAGTAATATTACAGCAGTTAAGTAATATTACAGCATATTACAGCATACAGGATACTTGGATTACTTGCTGCAGTTCCTTAAACAAAACTACCACAAACTGCAATAACCGAACTGAAAACATCCATAAAAGCTACAGTAGCAGATGACGGAGCATCTCGGTATAAGAACTACCTGCCTTCAACATTTTATGTACCGGCCCTTTTCTAGATAAGTAGTGTCCTTGTAATTATTTCCTTCCTTCTTGATAGCTAGTCTCTAAGTTTTGCCTAATATATTTAAGCCCATATGAACTGAGCTAGGGTGAGGAGAAGAGAAAATATAAGAGATCATCTGCCTTTATATTGGGAGGGAAAGAGAAGTAAGGCATGTGAGACAGGGTCCTTTTCAATCATAAAATAAGTGCACCATGAGAGAAGTATGCTGATTAGTTCGGCTGTTGGTAGTCACCACCTTCAAAACCTTGATTCAATATATATTAATGTAATTTATCATTCTTTTGCATGGAAGTTGCACAATATTAAGTCCAGCGTCCTGGTCCGGTTAATGGTAGGTCATGCACGATGGGTTTTAAGTAGCAACGATGGACTGAAGAGAATAATGGAGATGGTGCTACTGAGTAACGAATGCTTGGATTTCTTCCAGGGTTCGCCCCTCAGTCTCTGGTACCATCTTCGCAACAAATATGATTCCCAGACCAGAAATGATCGCATAGACGAAGAATACTCCTGATATAAGTTATTTACAGAGAAACTTGAAAATTTTCAAGTGAGCCCTGTAATTAAGGAATAGAGATATAGGGAAAGTTACCTGATGAACTCCACTCAAACAGGAAGTTGAAGGTGTAGGAAATGCTCCAAGCACCTGACCAGTATACAAAATTCGCTAGACTTCCTGTTGAACCTTTTATGTCTATTGGAACAACCTGGAATTCAAGGCAGCAAGTTAATATGAGCAAAATGTGCAGAACGTTTATTCAGGAAAATTTTTAGTTCAAGATCAGAAATCTAGTGCCATGGCATTCACATACCTCTGAAAATATAACCCATGGTAATGGTCCCAGGCCAGAAGAATAAATGCAAGGCATAACTGATTACATGACCAAATAATCCAAATGCAGTCAAGCTGGTATAATAGAGATCTGGTAACACTACAAACAAAATGACTTATACTAATGGAACTCTATACCAACGGAAAACTTAAGCAGTCACTATACATCAATCTATACCAACGAAAAAATATATCCGTTTATATAGGGTTGGTTTATACAAACAATTTATATTTATCCGTTTGTATAGAGTATATCTATTCTGATGATCATCATTATCAGTTTGTATAAATGTATCTGTACAGACGGATTACTGTTCCGTCTATATATTTCCCTATTTCTTAAACACTTTATTTTCCTTTGCTGCTGGCTTCATTTTTACTTCCCTCCATGGATTTCCCATTTCCTCTCTTTAATTTC